AGGCTACTAATGGACCATGTTAAAAGCTTTCAAATTCGGTTCATATTTGACGTTTTCCCATGCATTTTTAAGATTTTAAAACACTTAAATTATTAATTTTTAATAATGCTAACGTTAACAATTTATAAACTTTTAAAAAACCCTGCTGAAGAAACACTACAGCTTTTAGTATGAGAATATGCATTAGGCCCCGTGGCTGCGGAATGAATTGTGGCATCAAAAGGCCACATCCTTTAGTGGCCTTCAAGTTAAAAGGAATGCAAGTTACTGTTGTTTTTGTACTTAAAAAGTGGCTGAGATGCATCTGGGATAACCGCTGAGTGGCTGCTGCGGCATGAGGCGGGCTTGGCAATTAACTAAGCACGACGAGCTGAAGGTGGGCGTAATAGCTACAATGTCTAAGTAATTGGTATGTGGGGCCAGGCCAGACTCTAAGCTCCAGTTGCAGTTACATTCACAGTTACCTGCTGCTTTCCTCCGAACAACAATGCTGATGAGCCTTCATTAAAAACTGAGCTTCTGTCTGAGTCCATGTCAGTGTGTGTCTGATATTGTGTGTGTGTGTGTGTTTGTCTGACTGCATGACAGGCTCTCCCACTGGGCTGGCTCTTGGCACATGTAAAGTTTATTAAGTGCTTGTAGAATGCTCACTAGCCTGACAGACTTCATAAAGTGCGTTTACACACACAAGTAGCAGCAGATGAAAAGCGGAAAAGCGAAAGCTGAAGTAAAAGCAGAAGCATGCATGTGTGTGTGTTTGTGTGCGCTTATAGCCAGCTGACTGGCAATTATCGACGCGACTTTGCTGATTTTCCACTTAAAAGGTTGTCAGCCATTAACCAAACTGCCACTCACAGCGCAGCACATGCGTAATTCGAGACGTTTACCAAATGAAAATGAAAATGGGAAAATGGTATGTCAGGAAATAAAAACATTTTTATTGCATACTGTGCGGCACTTAATAATGATGTGAGTGAGTGGTTAAGTCCTTGAGTTCTACTTGTTAACCTGACCAATTTAGGAAACATGGAAGCTAACCAGACAGCAAGACGAATGAGCTTTGCTTGACGCTTTATCACTCACGCCTCGCTGCACAGATTTTTTATTTGACAGTGATAGTCAATGTTAATGAAGATGATTTAGCTTCCAAAATATATACCACACATATACCACAAGGTATAACCAGAACGAAAAGTAATTTAGTAAATTTAACAGGCTATGCACATTATTTATTTAACAATCTATTTCAGTCAGTTCTTGACGAATGATCCATTATCATTTTAGGATTGTCCTAAGCATACTTTATGTTACTGTGATTGAGTTATATATGTTTAAGCCAAATTTAACAGGCCTGTTGGCACGCGTATAAATTTTGGTGTATAGCTTGAAAGACAAACAAATCTAAATAAGACATTCCAAATGCGCAGCAAGTAAAACAAAGAGAAAGAGAGAGCAGGAGATAGAGTGAGAGAGATGGCTCGATAGAGAGAGAGCTGATATGAAAAGCACTCAGCCAGTAAATTAGGTTCATGTCTCAACTAGTTGACCCAAGCTAGCCAAAATAAACAAACAGTCGAGCAGAAATTGGGCGGGGTTACGAGGGGTTTGGCTACTCTGAACTGGGCACTTGTTCTGCTCGAGTTGTTGTTAGTGGCTGTTGTTGTTGCTGAGCCAACGGCCGTGAACAACGAGTAAATCATAGCCATGAAATATGTGCCAGGCTAAGGAAAACCGTAACTGAGAACTACAACAACAACTGCAATCAGCATGGATAGTCATAATAATGAAAATACAAAATAGCCAAAGCGGTTGCTTAAACTTTATGCTATGAGACGCAAATCGTTGTTACCTTTTGTTGTTGCTTTATTGTGTTGTTTGTATGCCCAAATTTACGATGAGCAAACACACATACACACGCACACACCTGGCAAAAGACGTCGTTGGGCAAGAAACGTGACCAGCAAAATATATATAAAAACGAAAGAAAAACTGGCGCTAGTAGCATTATAAAATGTAAGACTTTGCTCATGCGAGCGATAAAATTGTTGATGCCCTATAACCCGTAACGCACTATGCCGCCTCACTCATCTCCACAGCCCCCTTTCCCGAACCCTGCCATAGACTGCACCCGCAATCACAGCAATAAACTTTAGAATGACTTTGCACTCTGGTCTGCACTCACATAACCTGGATGCCCTAGGAAAGGTGCTTACAATGTTTTCCGCATGATTTAATGCGTAATTTTCAGAACTTTGCAAATTTTTCAGATAATTTATCATTTTTACAGCAACAACATGCATTTCGAAATAAAGGGGTTTGTGGGATGGCGTTAGTTTTTGTCGCAACGACACCTGACGTTTGCTCCTCTTTCGACTACCCTCTGACCACCTCATTGCGCTCCAACTTCTGGGTTAAGTGCAAGCAAAAATTGTGACCTCAGCTCATTGACTTTAGGGACTTAATGGTTGGGCTGGGCTGTTCAGGGAAGTGCGCCAGCCCACAGTACGCCAGCTGCTCCGAAGTGCTGCCTTAATTAAAATTTTGGCTATTGAAATAGGTTTGACCATGCTAGGCCTCTTATGATAAATGTGTGGTCACTGGGTTGGTTTTGCTTATTTGTAATTAATGGGTTGTAATTTTGCAGGATATACAGACAGGAACATTTGCACTAGTTGAAAAAGAAAAAGTTTAATTGCTGGAAAGGGAATGTTATATTGATAAGGAAAATTAAATTGAATTAGTAAAGTTAACGATATATTGCTAAAGGATTAGAGTAAAAACAATACCATTCTCTGAGATCGAGACGGACAACAATTATATATATTTCTTCTTTATGGAATCAACGAGTTTCATTTTGTACACAATGTTCAATGTTCTTTAAAATACGTTCTTTCGATTTTCTTTGATATATTTAAAACCTTGAATCACTGCAAACTTTTAGGGCTATAATATATTATGTACTGTTTCGTCAGAACACACTCAAGCCTTTCCATTTCTGACCTTTTCAAACCGAACGAACTCACATCCATTAACACAGCTGCTGCCCAGCTGATGTATTATGCATATTTTCGCCTTTGAGTTGGCAAAGTGCAAAAAATTACAACATTTTTCAACTTTGCACTGACAAACTTCAGCTGCAGGCATCGGAAGTTCTTTTGCTTCCAGTACGACAGGCGGCATAAATGCATATTTCATGTGATGCCAAATACTTTTGGTATTTATACAAATATTTTTACTATTCAGTGCAGCAGCAAGCAAGGAGTCAGCCATTGCCGAGAATGCAATTTTAAGAACACGGCTGTTTGATATTAATTATACGAAAATCATTTGCATACAAGCTGCCAGCTAACGAAAATCCTGGCTATCCTGCTCTATCGGGTATACACGGGCTGCAGAATTCCAAACAATGTCCGTTGGCAGCAAGAGAACGTTTCGTATACGGATCTCATGGAATTAATTAATGGCGAGCTATACGAATCGGCTTTAAAATGAATAACATGTAGCTCCAGCTCAAGCAATATTGCATTCCCCGTTTACTGGGCATTGTTGAGCAGACCGCATTGGAATTGATTGATTTGCATGCGGTTTGATATATATCTATGTGTGTCTGCAGCTGCAGGTGGATCGAAGGCATTTTGGGTTGCAATTGTAATTGAAATCGCACCGAATGCAATTTCATGTTGTTCAATGATTTTAGTCATTTTATCGACTCATCTGGCAAGCGTTCTGCTTGCCCCATAAGTCACACACTTTGAAATGCAACACATGGTGAAGGCATCTGTTGCAACTCATATACACTGTTCAGCAAATTGAAATCAAGCATATTGACTAATTCGCATATGTTAAAGTTGAATATGTTACACATGACATATATGAATACTTGTGAATATACACATCGGACATGGTATAAACATTTTCTAGCCACGCCCAGCTGAAAACGAACACAGCCTGCTTCTAGCTATTATTGTATTGTGAATAGTGTGTCGAGAAGTCGGCAGCAGCTGTTCGTAACATTCCGGCTTGTTTCCCTCTGCTCTTTCTCAACGCGTTGGCTCTTTTCTCTTTGTCCGTTCGCAGCCATTTGCTACAATATCCTTTCTGACTCGAGCATCGTTTTTTCTCCGGCAACTTCTTCTCGGCAAGTAACTGAGTAACTCAGTGAGCAACACGGCGTGTGTGTGCTTGTCTATTTTTATCCCTGCTCCGTTGCTTGTTCATATTATCACCCGGCGCGGATATACCGCACTGGATTTTGTCGTAATTGCGTATGGAGTGCTCGTCGTCAGCCAGTCAGACAGACAGACAATCGGACGGACGGAGCAGTCGGATCTGGTCTTTAATAAAGTTTTCAGCTCTTTTTGTTTTCTTTCAGTTCTTTGCTACCTCCGCGTGTATATGTATGTTTTTTCTCCCTTCCGTGCTGTTGAGATTTGAGAGCGGTCACCCCATGCTGCGCGTATTCGACTGTAGGCTACTGTCTGAGTGCCGACCCCGGACCCGGGCAAGCCGCATTGAGACTGACAGTCAGGGAACTGGGCAGCCAGTCAGCTATAGCTAAAATTAGACTCCAGACATTCAAGGGACACAGCACGTTGTAGGAGCTCCACTCATTAAGCACCAATGGCAATGGCAGCGACATACGGCACAGCATTTTAATTTGTGGCATTAATGCGTAGTAAATAAGGCAGCATGGATATGGCACCCAAGACTATACACACGATTCCATATGTATACAAGCGCATATAGGCCCATATACATACATTTCCACATATTGTAGTCTTAAGGCGCTTACAAGAGCGGCAGGCTCTGAAAGAGCGTATAATGAATATATGGGGCTTAAAATAGGCATAATAGCACTTATGACTGAGACCCGGGTACATTAACATATATACAATTGGATTGCAAGGGAAATGAGTGTTGATTTAGTTAAAAGCGACCACAAAATACTGCAACACATGTGCAAGCTATACACTTGAATTAATTTATACACTACTTGATACCTCTATTGTGCTATGCAGTGTTGACATGGTACATACCTGAAAAGAAGAAAATAAAAATTATAATTAGTCTTTAGGCTCAATTATTACAGCTTATGCTGACTATTTAAGTGGATTTTAACAGATATAATTAATAAATTATACAATCTAAACAAATTATGATTGTGTTCTTTACAGTATATATTAAAACCCACAGCTAAAATGTTTCAATGAGAATTTGTGGATGATCAAAAGTTTTGTCAACTGCAAAATTAGTTGCATTTTTTTATATATTTGACTAATTATTGCCACCGTTTATGGCTTAGACATATGCATAACTAATCACTATTTATAAATACGGCTAATTATGTGCATATTAAGAGGAAATCAAATTTGGTGATTTGTGAATTCATTTCTAAACCAGCATAAGTATATTCAAGTGCACCGATGATTAAATATCCTACAACCATTCGACAGTTGTACATTATTTCTACAGGGACTATATGATATAGAAGTCCGATCTAAGCGTCTGGGACGTATGCTACGTATGCCTGCAGCTAAAACTCAGTGCCGTTCGAACTGAGAGACAAGTTCTGAAAGAAACATGCAGATGAACTTATCCAAGGCGATCAGTAATATATAAACTTAATATTTATTTTTTGTACAGGGTATAAAATGTGTATATTTTTAGACTGCATACAAATTAAGCGCCAGGCGTTGTTTCCAAATGATTAAAAGCAAGCGAAATGTAATTAAAGCGTGAAAAAAATAATAGCAATAATTATTAGGCAAATGTTTCAATTACATAAACAAACGAGAAAATTGTTGACAGAGCAGCTGCTTCCGCTTAGCGCATCGATGCGAGACTTGGAGAGATACAGAGAGCGAAAAAGGCAAAGCGAGAGAGAGAGATAGAGAGAGAGAGAGAGAGAGAGAGAGAGAGAGAGAGAGAGAGAGAGAGAGAGAGAGAGAGAGAGAGAGAGAGAGAGAGGGAGAGAGAGTAGCATTCGTTCTGCACTTGAAAAACAAAAAACACATTTTCTGTACTCGCGGCTCTCAGGCCCAGTCTGGCAGTTTAATCAGTCTAAATTGACACTGGGGGTCAAATTCATTAAGATAGAAATATTTCGCTTGTTTTGTTATTGTTTCTGCCATCGCAGTACTCAGAACTGCGTAGCAAGGGCGTTGGCTTCTTACGACCGCATTTCGAAATCATAAATTTCAAAAATAGATAAGCTGCAGGCATTTTCCATTCAACTAAGCATTGGCATTAACATAACCATGCCGATGCGCCATGTGCTAGTCGCCTACCTATGTCAAGTAATTATCGTTTTCCCGGAAAATGCAATACAGAGACAACAACAGGAAATGCAGAAGTGTCTGTGTATATGACGGCAAAGTCTTACACCAGGCAATGCCTAAAAGTAAATTAACAAAGCAGCTGAGATTACAAAGAAACGTTACAAGGCACGCGAAAATTTATAAATAACATTTTAAGTAAATGACAAGCAGGGGGTCGGGTTACGCACCGTCAGGATATGCGTGACTAGCATTGAAATTAAACAAAAATATATATATTTGAGCGCTCACTGTCAAACGAGGCGATTGCAAACGTGGCAAAGCAAAGGCGCCTCCAAGTACGCAGCCAAAGCAAATACATAAATAAATGTAATGGCTTTTCCAGCAGTAACAACAACAACAACAACAACAACATGAACAGCAGCAGCAATAACAAGAAAACAACAACTAGAGGGGCGGGTGTGACAAAAAAAATCAGTAACATTTATTTTATTTATTTTGATCTTAGCTCAGGGCGTGGCAAAAGCTGTGTATTATTTTGATTTCCAAAGTGCTGACTTAACAGAGATGTATGAGCCAGAGATGTACATCTGTGTGCGTGTGTGTGCGGGCGCGCGTGTGTAGGCGTTGATGAAGTGCACATGAGTTTGTGTATGTACATAGCATGAAGTATAATGGAAACAGATGCTTCTAAGTAAGCAGATGCGGAAATGCTAAGATGTTTTAAATGCTCCAGTTATTCCCAAAGAGTTTTATATCTTTACACTGTTCTCTATATTGAGAGAAGTGTATTGATTCTGTGACAAATCGAAAATCGTTTAATAACAAAATAACTTATATTTTTTAATACCCAAAAAAAAAAAACATTACGTAACCATTAAAATATCATGTTATTAACCTTAATCTGAATTGAAAACAAAATACAGTTTAAAAATAAATATGACAATCAGCCTTGACTGAGTTTAAAACATAAAAAAGAATAAACCGAAATCTACATGAAGCGTATTTAAGCCTACTTTTACTCATGTTACTTATTTAAATGCAAATTTGTCAACCAGATTCTATACAAATTTATTGGCTATTAAAAGTCTTTGTAAACAAACAAAAAATGTATTATTTAATCTCATTCCGGTCTTGAGCACATTCTGGCTGTATTCAGATTACTTTATGAATTTAATATTTGTTATATACTGAAATATCTTCATAAATTAACTGGTTAGAAACATTTATTGTATGCTTCCAACAAACCCAATGGCAATTGAAGTTAATATGCAGTTGAATAAATTCTCATAATTGGCATTATAAATTCCATTGTTGGCCTGGCCCCCAGACAGAACAGATATCACAAATTTCCACAGCCCACAGCAAACGATCAACGAGAATTGCCTAAATTGCCCCTTTATTAGTTTTTTCACACACACTAAACAGAAGAAGAAAAAAAAAAAAAAACAGCTCAACGCGAAAACAAAAATAAAAGAATTTTTCCACGGTGGCAGACAGCAACAAATTTGGCCGGGAGTTGGAAGGTTTGCGTGTTAGCCGGGCATTAAATGGCGGCCAGGACACGAGCAGCAAAAACAACAAACAGAAATGAGGCAAAAAGTTGGCTACTTTTAGTTTTCGCTTTTGTTCGGAACAATCTACTAAAATAAACTCATACTTGACAGCAGCGTACAGTTCACGTTTTTTGTAGTTTTTGCTGACCAATTTCTTTTTTGTATGCCCAACTCATGACTTCTTCTGTGGCTACTTTAATTCTGCCCTTATTATTATTTCGCTTTCGTTTCGCTCACAGATACACACGAACATATGCACGCACACACAAGGAGCAAAGTGGTGCCTAGGTAGATATGTGAAATCCTGTGCTGCAGCCCTCATCATCAAATCGTTATTGATTGTGTGGAGCAAGAAAAGCAGCTACCCAAATGAAGCTGAAATTAAGTGCCCTCTTTTAGGCTATCATTAAAGCCTGTATCCTGCGGGCGCGTCTCATAAATATCGCCAGCATACTGATGGCTATCTGGCACGCAACCGATTTCGCAACCACATTAACTTACATTCTTATCTTCAAAGATAATTTGCGAAGTGTTTCCAGTGCCAGCAGGCTGCAGCTACTGTTTGCTTCAATCACATTCAAGGCTGATGCCGCCCAAAGTATTTTTTTTGTTACAAAATCAGCTAAGGTATTTAATAAGATACCCAAGAACTGAACAAAATGCGATGACAATCATGTACAACTTTAGTTGGGATCCTGAGGCTCAAAAGTTAAAAGGTTATTTCGCTTGAAAATCATCGTTATTGGAAAGATACGTAACCCTATGCTAAAATGAACAGTGAACAGAGTATTTCGTAGTTTATAAGCTCGTCTCGTTAGGCTCACGGATTTAAAACATCACCACAGTATTATATACAGTCTCGACTAGTTTTCATGCACAGCCCAAAGCCCAAATGGCACACACTTCATTATATAACAGGCCAAAAGTCTTGGTCAGGCAAAGCTGTCAAAACGAGCCTAAAACAAATGACACAAGCGCTTGCGAGTGTGTGAGTATGTATGTGTGTGTGTGTGTGTGTGTGTTATTGGTTGCCATACCATTTGTGCACGCCCCCTGCGTTTTACATCACAGTTGCCCCTGCTCTTAGCCAACAATCGTATGCGTTGCTATCAGCGCCAGCGTCATTTGCATGCAGAGAGGCACCCGAAAACAAATGTCAAAATCATAGAATCGACTAGCCAAATGGTGTGCACGGGACAGGGTAGGCGGGGTGGAGGGCAGTGATTCAGCATGTGTGTGTAGGCCGCAGTTGCTGCGTTTATTGAATACGCAAAAACATGAAAATGACAATAAAGCATGGCAACGAAGAGAGAACACGAGCGAGCATAATTAACATGCAAAACATACACCGATTATTGGATTGCTTTTTGGGTATACGAGCGAGCGAGAGAGTGAGAGGTAGGTAGCGAGGTCAGAGCGAACAGGAGTTAGAACAAAGAGGTATTTCCTTGTCTTGCAGCTGTGCTCATCAAAACGTAAATCTTGATGAAATTGTTTACATGGGCCACATGTGGCACAACAATAACAGCCAAAGGCCAATGACAGGGACCCCATTTGATTTAAGATGCAGCAAAAAGTTTAAGAGCAGCAAAAAGTTCATTAAAAAACAAGTAAGAGGTTGTAGTCGGGAGGTCCCGACTAGGGGATACCCTGAACCCTCTTCTTCCAACATTAAATGCATATATAGATTCTATTTTAGAAGCAACATATCCTGTTTCGTGACTCTAGCTCTTATTATTTACCAAAATTGCCCAAAAAAACAGGATATCGATATCGATTTTTATCGATTGCTTGGATACGGAGTAAGTTAGTCTATAGCTCTTATATGTTCTGAGATCCTTGCGTTCATACATACGGACGGACAGACAGACGGACATGGCTAGATCGACTCGGCTATTGATGCTGATCAAGAATATATATACTTTATGGGGTCGGAGATGCTTCCTTCTGCCTGTTACATACAGTTGGATTTTGCACAAATACAATATACCCTTATACCCATTTTTAATGGGTTCAGGGTATAAAAACAAGGAGTGTTTAATCTGGAGAGCCACACTAGGAAATACCCTGTACTCAGCGCCGAAAAACCGACACAAGCATTCAGAAATGTTCACATACACAGAAGCACAGCCTATGCTTCTTCTTTCGTCCGCCTCACACTATGTAAAAAGTATTCTTGTATAACCGAAATGTTAATTGCCCGAT